ATAAGCAGAACAAAATCAAAAGCCTTGTCAAAGTCAAGAAAGATTGTAGTTTTCGTTTCTTCTATCTATAAAATCCTTCAGTGTCACTGATGGTTAAATCTCTAGCTCCTCTTATTTATCAGGCTATGCTGCCTATGCATCTCCTTAAAAAAAAAGGATTTTTGAAATATATAATGTATGCTTAAAGATTTATAATTTTAAGAATCATCTGATGAGACGTAAGTAGTCTCACGTTTATCCATGTATTATCAAATGTGCTTCTGTGTGACTTTACTCAATCCTATTAACCATGTCATTACATAGTTTCTTGACATGAGAATATATTTTTATGTTGACATAACTTTTTTAAAAGTATGAGTAGACAATTTAATATTTTTCCTTTAGTACAGTATTTTGTGTGTTGACAAAGCAGGGCCTTGATAATGAGTGTACTGTGGGATATTGAGCCAATTTAGTTAATTCGGGCTTCAGCTCCTTTGAAGGGTTGAGTGAAGCTCTGCTTATGGGTAATTGAAGCTTCAGGCTGCGAAGAGTTCGGTAACTAAGAGGTAACCATTTTGGATCAAGGGTACAATTTTGATTGAATGATGAGCATTCTCAAAGAGCACATAGCAATTTTCTGAATTGCATAATCTAATGGCTGAAATTTAGAAAGTAATGATGTCATCTCACATTTTAAAACAGCATACATCTATGCCTCTGTAATTATTTTGTGTATTATTTTTAATAATAGCAATAGACAACTCCAAGGGTCAGGAAGAAATAGGCCCCAGGGATGTCTGCAACAGCTTTGTTAGAGAGTTTCTGCCCTACATAATTGTGTTTTCTTTTTGGAATTCCTGGCAAAGTCTTCTTTCCATGTTTTCTAAGCCTCTTCTTCCTTGTTCTCAATTCATTTCCTGATACACCTTTCCAAGGGGGTCTACCTGTGTTAAGATGGACTGAGTTCAAATTGTGTCCTTCCTGAATTATAACTTGTGAATCTTCCTCTTCTTTATTGGTTTTTTAATAAAATATATAATGAAATAGTAAATTCACCAAGAATATCAAGCATATTTTGTTATAGGTTATTACACTCGGAGTTTATAAGGGGTAATACTATGGATAGGTAAAGAATTTGAGGTCTACTTAATAAAAGACTGATCTGGGATCGATTTCTTAGTTTTTTGTGTATGGCATAGTAAAAGAACCCAGGACTAGCAGTTAAGAGACTTGGTCCTAGCCCTGGTTCTGCTACTATTTTGCTATATAACTCTGGGAAAGTCACTTAATTTTGCAAGGCGTCAATTTTTCCATCTGAAAAATGAGGGTATTTCATCAGATTACTTCGAAAATCCTTTCAGTTTCTAAGTTTCTGTAGTTGTTTTTTAAAAACGGAACTTTCTGAGTAAAAGTTTGGCAGCTGGTTTTGTTTTTTCCCCTGGTTTGTATATTCATTCCACTAGAAAGACAGCCACACTGTTTTGTTTTTTTTTTTAAATCTAAAGTGCTTCTTAATAAATTTTAGCCCACTTGTTTATTTTTCCTTTTACATTGGGAAACAGCTTTCCCCCGTGGATTCAGTTCCGCCTATTCCTCTGCGTACGGAGCAGCATGGTGGAAATAGAAGGAACCTGGCTTCACAGCCTATGGGCTGGGTGACTTTGGAAGGTTAATTAACCTCTCTGACTCTCAGTTTCCATATCTGTAAAATAGAAACAATTCCTGGCACCATGACCCCAAGTGGTTTTGAATATAAAACAAAATTATGCATAAGAAAATCTAGCATGCAGCAGGCACTTAAAAAAAAAAAATAACCAGTTGCCATCAAGTCAACTCCAACTCATGGCAACCTCATGTGTTTCAGAGTAGAACTGTGCTCCATAGGGTTTTCAATGGCTGTGATTTGTCAGAAGTATCACCCGACCTTTCTTCTAAGGAGCCTCTGGGAGGACTCGAACCACCAACTTTTCGGTTAGTAGTCAAGCACATAACCATTTGCACCATCCGGGGACTCCGTTCTCTCACCCCTGCTCGCCACTTTCCTTTCACAGTTACGTGACCCTGTTCTTTCTCACCTTCTCAAGGGAGGATGCAAGAGGGTCTCCTGCACCACAGTACCCGATGCTTAATAGATACTGTACAAATATTTGTTGAATGAATGAATTGAATAAATCCTCTTTAAAAAATCTTCAGTGAACTTGTGGGATGACCCTTCAAGGAAGGTTCCTGTTGAACCCAGAAGATTCTGAAGATTCCCTATCCAGGAGGTAACCTGTACCTTCAGATCAAGAGGCATGGAAGTAAAGATGAGACAGCTCCTCTGGAATCACTAGAAGAATGCGAGACCAGGAGGAGCCTCGTACTATCTGGAAGAAGTACCAGAGGAAACTTACTTTAATGCAAACTAAACATCAGTGGCAGAATCATAAGTATTTTTAAACCTAACATAGACTAGAAAGGACAGTATTGTTTGTTATTTTTATAATCAAAGTCAGAGGGCTTGATACAGAGCTTGTGGAAAATGAGTATATTTCAACATTTTTCTGTTTCTCTGCTAATTGATTTTGATAGCTACTGTGCTTTCCTTTATAAATAATGATTTTCTTCCAAAATGAAATGCCTGTATTTTTCTCAAAGTTTGTTTACACAATGCCACACAACCAACCAAATAGCTCTTAACTTTATTTTTATTATTTATCAGTGTATTATTTAGGAAGCATGTGAAGAAAAAAAGCCACTGTTTATTTTCTGGTTCTTGGTTATAATAGTAGGGTAAAGAAAGGTTCCACCAATCGTTTGTCAGTTTGTGGCTCCGGGAATTGACAAAATACCAACTGAGATGTTTCAACAAACAGATGCAGCGCTGGAGGTGCTCACTTGTCTATACCAAGAAATTTGAAAGATAACTACCTGGCCAGCTGACTGGAAGAGATCCATATTTGTGCCCATTCCAAAGCAAGATGATCCATCCGAATGTGGAAATTACCAAACAATATCATTATTATCACACACAAGTAAAATTTTGCTGAAGATCATTCAAAAAACAACTGCAGCAGTATACTGACTGATAGGGAGCTGCCAGAAATTCAAGCCAGATTCAGAAGAGGACGTGGAACCAGGGATATCATTGCTGATGTCAGATGCATGTTGGCTGAAAGCAGAGAATACCAGAAAGATGTTTACCTTTGTTTTATTAACTATGTAAAGGCATTCGATTGTGTGGATCATAACAAATTATGGATAACATTGCAAAGAAGGGGAATTCCAGAACACTTATTTGTGTTTATGCGGAACCTGTACATAAACCAAGAGGCAGTCGTTCCAACAGAACGAGGGGATACTGCGTGGTTTAAAATGACAAAAGGTGTGTGTCTGGGTTGTATCCTTTCACCATACTTATTCAGTTTATGTACTGAGCAAGTAATCTGAGAAGCTGGACTATACCAAGAAGAATGGGGCATCGGGATTGGAGGAAGACTCATTAACAACCTGCGCTATGCAGGTGACACAACCTTGCTTGCTGAAAATGAAAAGGACTTGAAGCACTTACTGAATTACACCTCAACATTAAAAAAAAAAGAAAAAAATCCTCACAACTGGACCAATAAGCAACATCATGATAAACAGAGAAAAGATGGAAGTTGTCAAGGATTTCATTTTACTTGAATCCACAATCAACACCCATGGAAGCAGTAGTCAAGAAATCAAATGAAGTATTGCATTGGGCAAATCTGCTGCAAAAGATTTCTTTAAAGTACTAAAAGGCAAAGATGTCACTTTGAGGACTAAAGTGACTCAAGCCATAGTGTTTTCAGTAGCCTCATATGCAACACGAAAGCTTGACAATGAATAAGGAAGACCAAAGAAGAACTGATGCCTTTGAGTTGTGGTGTTGGTGAAGAATACTGAATATACCATGGACTGCCAGAAGAAGGAATAAATCTGTCTTGGAATAAGTACAGCCAGAATGTTCCTTAGAATCAAGGATGGCGAGACTTCATCTCATGTACTTTGGATATGTTATCAGGAGGGACCAGTCCCTGAAAAAGGACATCATGCTTGGTAAAGTAGAGGGTCAGTGAAAGAAAGGAAGACCCTCAGTGAGGTGATTGACACAATGGCTGCAGCAATGGGCTCAAGCACAGCAACAGTTGTGAGGCTGGTGCAGGACCAGGCAGTGTTTTGTTCTACTGTATAGGGGTCGCTAAGTCGGAACCAACTCAATGGCACCTAACAACAACTGAAAGGTTAAGCTGACACAGTAGCTTTAAAAACAATTTATTTAAGTTCGGGAGACTGAAAGAAGCCATGGCCATCCTGCCTTCTTTCAAATACACTGAATTTACTTCTGCCTTGTTCGCATATGTGTGGTCAAATTAAATAAGCATTTAAAAAACATAGACGCATCAGATTGGAATCATTTTGTGTACTTGGGGATTAAAATAAGCCCGTATCTCTGGGTTCCGAAGCCATAATGATCAAATCAAGTGTTTTCTCTGTACATGTGGTAAGTTCTTCTCATCAGATATTCTGTTCAATAAAATAAGTGTGTCATAAAAGTATTTTCTTTGAACTTTGTTCTTTGATTGAAAAACTCCTATCTACCTTATGAATACTGCAATCGTTAAGCCCGGAAGACAAAAGATGGCTAATGCAGCACAGATATCTGTGGATTTTAAAGGTTCATTATTATGTGTGAGGCATAACAACACCTTCCTGAAACTGGTCTTCTGTGGGGGGATGGGGGGGATTAAACTTTTCAACCTGGACCCTTCCATCCTGCCGAGGAGGACTCTGACCCTTCCCATTCAGTGTCCCTCAGTCCCGTCTCCCCGTCTTCAGAATGAAACAATATCTTAAGCACACTGAGCTCAGAGAGGCTGATCATTGGCTCCCATTGTCCCTGATGGTGCAGCCCCGCCCCCTTGGCTTGTGCTGACAAGTTGTTTATATTTTTGTAAGGCCACCCTTTAACTCCGCAGCCTGATGACTATAATGGGCCCAATTGTCTGCAGGCTGCAGGGAGCTGAGTCTCCAGATCCGAGGAGGCTGGGACGCGTCTCCGATACACAGGCGTGGCTGTTATGGAACACGGGTAAGGGGGCTTCTAGGTGTGGGATGATTCTTTTGAGAGGGCTAGCTGGTTAATCCTGGACACTGTTTCGGGGAAACGAGTTGTGATTGAGTTGCTAGGCTTTCTCCTGGTTTTAATGTTTTGCTTGCTCAAGAGCAGAAGGAAAAGACCAGTTCACTGACAAATGGACTGAATTTGCTGACAAAACTCATAGTGGTGACCCCTGCCAGCCCTGGCAGAACGGAGCAGGGAAGCAAAAACTTGGGGGAGAGACACAAGCCGGATGTGACACAAAAGCAACCTGGATGTGGCAAAACATAAGGCTATTTCCAGTGATGTTGTGAGACTCAAACGCTGCTTTATTTGCTTACGTAGTTTCTCACAGGAGTTCAGTTCTGCCACTGCGAGGTTTCTGTAAGCCAGCTCTTTTCCCATGTAGCTCAGTTGAGCCCGTTTGAAAGGGTCTAATATCTGCTTGTATTTTCAAAGGGCAAACCATAGTAGTCTTGTATGTCATAAATAAGTCCATTCAGAAATGTGGGAACGGTTTAGAGCTGGCAGGCTGTAAAGTTTTACTGCCCCATAAAAGTGCTCAAAGGGTACTACGGCTGTCTGCAGTGGGGCTGTGGAATGAGGAAGAGCGTTTGTCCTTGACTGCTGAAGTGAGAAGCAGTGAAGCCTACAGGACACTGTGTGAGATGGGGCTGAGACCCTGAGATGGCTTAGCCAGCCTCGCCCCTGGGGTTCTTCTGGTTTCTGGCTTGTGATTGAGTGAGGGTGAAACGCTGTTGAGGCACTGGTCTTTGGTGCCTGATTTCAGCATCTTGGATACCCCATTTGGCACCAAGGAAGCACAGAGAGCCACACATGTCACGTGAGGAGGTTTGCTGTCACTCAGATCTGCAAAGGGGCAGTTGCGGGGGGGTGCGGAGTGGAAAATCAAAGACCCTGGGAACTGCTTTGGAAAGTCCTGCCTGCTGCTGAACAGAAAAATCACCTCTGGCAGCTTTTTGTATGTGTGCGCACACGTATGTGTGTGTGTGTTTCGATAAAACTTAATTTATGGATACTGAAATTTGAATTTCATATAGTTTTCATGTGCCACAAATATTATCTTTCTTTTGATTTTTTAAAATTTATTTATTTTGTTATTGTTGTTGAAAATATACACAGCAAAACATATACCAATTCAACAGTTTCTGCATGTAGTGACATTGCATTCTTTGAGTTGTGCAATTATTCTCAACCTCCTTTTCTGAGTTGTTCCTCCCTCATTAACATCCCTGCCCCCTAAGATTCCTATCTAATCTTTGAGTAGCTGTTGTCAATTTGATCCCATATAGATAGTTGTTAAAAGAGCATGATGCTCAAGGCAGAACTTTTTTTACTAGTTAAGCTAAACTGTTGTTTGGTTTTAAGAAGACTTCAGGGGATAGTTTTGGTTTAAAGTTTTAAGAAGACTTCAGGGGATAGTTTTGGTTTAAAGTTTAAAGATTATCTCAGAGCAGTGGTTTCAGGGGTTCATCCATCCTCCATGGCTCCAGAAAGTCTGGAGTCCATGAGAATTTGAAATTCTATTCTACATTTTCTGCCTTTTGATCAGGATTCTTCTATGGAATTTTTGATCAAAATGTTCAGTAACAGTAGCCGGGCACCATCCAGTTTTTCTGGTCTCATGGCAAAGGAGGCAGTTGTTCACAGAGGCAATTAGCCACCCATTCCATATCCTCCTCCTATTCCTGACTCTCCTTCCTCTGTTGCTCCAGGTGAATAGAGAACAATTGTGCCTTAGATGGCCACTTGCAAGCTTTTAAAAGCAATGAACTAGGAGGTAGAATGAAGCACTATACACATTATTAGGCCAATTAACCGGGATGTTCCTGAAATCATGACCCTAAACCTCCAAACCAAAGAACCAAATCTCATGAGGTGTTTGGTTGTACCCAAGCAGCCTCAGCAGCTACTCTTTTTTTTTAATTCCTGCAATGTTGTAAATACATCTATCACACAACTTTTGCCAATTCAGCTTTTTACGGGTGTACAACTTACTGACAGCAATTACAATAATCAGCTGTGTAACCCTACCCTTAAATCAACTTAATTTTTTCATCACTGTTAACACCCCTGGTACCCATACCCAAACCAAACCCAATGCTGTGGAGTTAATTCTGACTCATTGTGACCCTATAGAACAGAATAGAACTGCCCCATGGGGTTTCCAAGCCTGTAATCTTTATGGAAGCAGACTGCCACGTCTCTCTCTCCTGCAGAGCAGCTGGTGAGTTTGAAGTGCTGACCTTTGGGTTAGCAGCTCAGCACTTAACCGCTGTGCCACCAGGGTTCTTTCCCCTCATAACCACTAATAAACTTTGATCTCTGAACATTTGCCTTTTCTTGTCTTTTTATATAAGTGAGGCCATACAATATTTGTCATTTTGTGATTGGCTTATTTTGCTCACATAATGTCTTCATATTATAGCAAGTATCAAGAATTCATTTCTGCTGCTGGCTGAGTAGTATTCCATTGTATGTATGTACCACATTTTGTTTATGCATTCATCTGTTGATGGGCATTTAGGTTGTTTCTACCTTTTGGCTATTGTGAATAGTGTTGCGATGAACATTGGTGTTGAGTCTCTGCTTTCAAGTCTTTTAGGTATATACCTAGGAGTGGAATTGTTGGGTCATCTGATAGTTCTATTTTTAGTTTTTTGAGGAACTGTTACACTGTTTTCCACATCGGCTGCACTATTTTGCATTCCTACCAGCAATGGATAAGGGTTCCAATTTCCCCACATCCTCACCACCGTTTGTTATTTTCTGTTTTTTGTTTGTTTGTTTGTGTTTTATCTTAGCCATCCTAGTGGGAGTGAAATGCTATCTCACTGTGGGTTTGTTTGTTTGTTTTTAATTTTATTGTGCTTTAGGTGAAAGTTTACAGCTCAAGTTACCTTCTCATTCAAAAATTTATACACATATTGTTTTGTGACATCGGTTGTAATCCCTGCAATGTGACAGGACTCTCCCCCTTTCTACCCCAGGATCCCCATGTCCATTTGTCCAGTTTTCTTGTCCCTTCCTGCCTTCTCGTTTTGCTTTTGCGCAGGAGTTGCCCATTTGGTCTCATGTATTTGATTGAACTAAGAAGCATGTTCCTAACCTGTGTTACTGTTTTCTAATCTTTGTTTGAAAAGTGGGCTCGGGAATGGCTTCAGTTCTAAGTTAGCAGGGTGTCTGGGAGCCATAGTCTCGGGGGTTCTTCCAGTCTCTGGCAGACTAGGAAGTTTGTTTTTTTTTTGTGAATTTGAATTTTGTTCTACATTTTTCTCCCGCACTGTCCAGGACTCTCTATTGTGAACCTGTTAGAGCGGTCAGTGGTGGTAGCAGGGCACGATCTACTTCTGAGCTTAGGCTGGTGGAGGCTGTGGTTAATGTGATCCTTTAGCTCTTTGGGCTAATTATCTCCCTCGTGTCTTTGGTTTTCTTCATTCTCCTTTGCTCCAGACAGGATGGGACCGATAGATGTATCTTAGATGGCCGCTTGTAAGACACTACTCACTAAAGTAGGATGTAGAACATTTTCTTTATGAACTGTGTTATGCCAGTTGACCTAGATGTCCCCAGTGGCTATGGTCCCCAGCCCTCAGCCCCAGCAGCTCAGTCCCTGAAGGTGTTTGGATGTGTCTAGGAAACTTCTGTGACTTTGCCTTGGTCACGTTGTGCTGACTTCCCCTATGCTGTGTTGACTTTCCCTTCACCAGTGTTGACACTTGTCTACTGTCTAGTTAGTGATTCGCCCTCCCCACCCTCATAACCATCAAAGATTGTTTTTTTCTGTCTGTAAACCTTTTCTTGAGTTTTTATAATAGTGGTCTCATACAATATTTGTCCTTTTGTGATTGACTTATTTCAATCAGCATAATGCCCTCCAGATTCATCCATGTTGTAAGATGTTTTTCGGATTCACCATTGTTCTTTATTGTTGCACAGTATTCCATTATGTGTATGTACCATAGTTTGTTTATCCGTTCATCTGATGGGCAGTTAGGTTGTTTCCATCTTTTTGCTATTTTGAATACTGCTGCAGTGAGCATGGGTGTACATATGTCTATTTGCTTGATGGCTCCTATTTCTCTAGGATATATTCCTAGGAGTGGGAATGCTGGGTCCTATGGTATTTCTATTTCTAACTTTTTAAGGAAGTGCTATATCGTTTTCCATAGTGGTTGTACCATTTTACATTCCCACTAGCAGTGCATAAGAGTTCCAATCTCCCCGCAACCTCCCCAATGTTTATTATTTCTGTTTTTTTTTTTTTATTAGTGCCTGTATTGTCCAGGTGAGATGGTATCTCATTGTAGTTTTGATTTGCATTCCTCTAATGGCTAGTGATCGGGAGCATTTCTTAATGTGTCTGCTAGCTGCTTGAATGTCTTCGTTGGTGAAGTGTCTGTTCATATCCTTTGCCCATTTTTAATTGGATCATTTGTCTTTTTGTTGGTGAGGTGTTGAAGTATTTTGTAGATTTTAGGGATTAGACCCTTGTCAGATATGTCATAGCTCATTGTAGTTTTGATTTGCATCTCTCTGATGACTAATGACACTGAGCATATTTTCATGTGTCTGGTGGCCATTTGAATGTCCTCTTTGGTGAAATGTCTATTTAAGTCCCTTGCCTATTTTATGATTGGGTTTTTTGTATTTTTGTTGTTATGTTGTCAAAGTTTTATATAAGTTTTGATTATTAGATTCTTGTCAGATGTATGGTTTGTGAAAATATTCTTTCAGTCCATAGCTTGTCTTTTCATTTTTTGGAAAAGTCTTTTGATGAAGAAAAATTTTTCATTTTTAACCAAAAACCAAACCAAACCAAACCCTTTGCCATCGAGTCAATTCCCACTCATAGCGACCTTGTAGGACAGAGTAGAACTGCCCCATAGGGTTTCCAAGGAGCGGCTGGTGGATTTGAACTGCCGACCTTTTGATTAGCAGCCGAGCTCTTAACCACTGTGCCAGCAGGG